TTTTTATTTAATTTTTTATACATTTTTTAATATTTCACACATTTTGCTCATCACTGTATTGAAACGTAATTATCTCAAGATCATGATCCTCATTGTCTTCAACAGCGCAAGACTGAAAGAAGGGGGACCACAGACTCAAGCTACTCAAGCACATCTCTGGCATTATTTTAACGATCTGCACATCTTCAGCATCTCATCACATTTATTTTCTCGTTCATCTGTCGGTTGGTTCATCATTTTGCAGTTTTTTTGTTTTGTTTTTGTTCTGCGAGGCCTGCACTCCTTTGTCGTTGGGTCGTCTGGTTGAGCAGCCAGTAGTTGTTGTCGCAGACGCTTTGATCAGGGCGACATTGACTTTTTTTCTTTGCGTGCTCTGCATTATCACATCGCGCAACTTCAATTTGCAGTTCGTGTTTCGCTCATGAACGTAACATTACCGTCTTCGACGTCGTCATCGTCAATGATTTCGTCCCCAGCATTGTTATTATTGTTGATGGGTCGTTGCTGTTCGTGGCTTGGGCTGTGGACCTGAATATCCCAACTGCACGAGAAATCAATGCAATGGGGAAAAAAGTTCAATATTATGGCAATCATATCACATCATATCAACAATTTATTGTTAAATAATTCTCACTAAAGGGCACTGGGGGTATGTGTGTAAATATGTTAAGAATTTAGTTGTCTTGCAGCAGGCAACTAGTTCGACGTGTGTTGTTGGTCAGCAAAAAGAGCAACAGCAACAACGAGGACTATCATAATTTATATTTGATTTGAATTGTGATGTATGAATGTAAGTATGTACTCGTATTTGGCTATTTCTAGACTGGTTGGTATGTCGGGTTATAGTCCAATTATTTCGTATACCATAGCATTTGCCATTCTTGGAAAGCAATTCTGTAATGTGACTTGAACTAGCTGGTTTGCATCTATTTCTGGAAATTGCAAGTCCGAACTGTAATGTTAATATTGGAACATTGATAGTGAAAATGTTTTGAGATATGTATATGACTTGTTTGGAAAAAAGAACATAAAAATATATTAATAAAAAATATTAAAAAAAAATAAATTAATTAACAATTGTCTCTTGAGAGATTTTTTACTCACTTCATAAGAGTTGATCTGCTACGTTATAAAGTCATTATTCGTAATCGCAATAGTTATGACTATTAGCATCAGAAATCCTCCTTACATGAAGCTACCACTCAATTTAACCCATTTAAAATTTATAGATTTTACCATGTCTGTTCGTCTGCGGAAATCACTCTTACATCCGAATAATATGAAGTAGGTAAAAACAAATTTTCTCGGTGAATTTAAGGTCTGTAGAATTATTGGTGTTGAAAATATAGGTCCATTTTTTTACAACATTTTTGGTGCTTTTTATATTAAACCGTATTTGCTTTAAATTGTTAGCTGGTGTTCTCAGTATTCTTGCAGAGAACTGTATGTATATGTCCAAGTTTGATTTGTGCCATACTTTTAACCGCATTTTTTCAAATTCTGTATTTGGAGTTCTCCAACGACAGAAAATCGCCTGTGCAGGTTCATGCCAAAGTATAGCCACATATAACGGCACCTCTCTATATACGCGAAGAAATCCCTCATGAAATTGTAATTCCGATATTTGATAATTTCATAATTTTAGAGGAATTTTTAACGAATTATTTTGATTTTTTTTAATTCTCTTCAAAATGGTCGATGGTATAGAATGGGACCACACATTGTAACTCAGCAGCATTTTTATTAGTTTCTTTTTATTCAAGCGCGTATTTGAATGTTATATATTTTGTGTAATATTTGTTTGCAGTTTGCATTATTTGTATATTTGACATATAATCTGCATTTTGATGATCAAACCATCGCTTATGGATTACAAAAAGTTTTATAATTCCATTTGAATAAACGGTTGGTGAACCTGATGAAGGAAAAACGCACACTTCCTATGTAAATATCCTGCACACTCTACCGCTCTCGTACGAATCAACAAAATTGTCGTGCAAAAAATGACTACTCAAACGACCGCCATACCCATAAGATGGCAATCAGCTTAGAAGATCAGCAAATGATACAAAAGCGACGATGGAAATTTCAAAGTATTCGTGCGATTACTTTTAAAGCTTCTGCGGTTGGGTGTGCGTAGGTTGATGGTTGTTTAGAGTTGGATTGTTATTGTTGTTGTTTTTTTTATTGTTATTGTCGATGAGTGTACCAGGGAAATACTACTGCCCAAAATGTAAGACTCATTTCGAATGCAGTTTGCATGCAAATACAAGCTCAAAACCGCCGTAAGAAGCTGTGGGAGTTGGCTGCTTTGAATGAACTCAGGCAACAATTTGAACATGCAAATAAACTTTTCGTAAAATTGACAAAAAGTAACGAGCGAATTGACTTTTTTCCACAAAAAAAAAATAACTCCTCTGCTCCACCCTCCTTCGCTTCTAACTATTAATTGAGGAAAAGTGTGTGTGTGTGTGTGAGTGTGTACAACAGGAGCTGCTTATTCCATTAGCATACTATAAAATCTTCCTAATTACAACCGCACAGACACAAACGCACTTCTTCCTCCGGTCGTGGCTTGGCTGCTTGGTTGGTTGGTTGGTTCGTCGCTATTTCCAGAGCCGTTATGTCTGGTTTTGTGGCATGAAGTAAGCCAAACAAAAACGAGGATATCTCAACGTTGGAAGTGAATAATTAGAACATAATTAATGGTTAATTAAAAACAACAGACATGTTGTCACTTGTTAAGGTTACATTAATTACACAAATACAAATGCAATTACAATTACAAGCGGGAGAAACGAGAAGACAACAACAAGAACAACAACACCTCTGGCAAACGAAACCGCAGAAATATCAAGCCACCATTTAGGCCAAGATGTAAGGAAAACGAAAGGGGAGGCAGCAAAACATGGCGTGTACCATTGTCAGGCGGGAAGGAATAGTTCTTTGGGTGTTGCAACATCGCCTGCCTGCCAGTCAGCCGATCAGCCAGCCAGCCAACAAGACATCTAGTCAGCTAGCAAACAGGACAACATTGAAGAATGACAAATGTCTTTGAGCCAAAGTTTATGACAATTTGAAAATAATTTGTTTGGTGGCTGGTCGTTCTTGTTCCTTGCATAAGGGCCCCTGACAAAGGCAATAGCAACAACAACAACAACCACAAATATCGACAAACGACGGAAGGTGTAAAGGGCGTACGTTTGGGGAGATTGTTGGATTGTCTTAATCAATAAATCCATTTTAAAAATTGCCCGCATAAATAACATTTCGACAAAAGAACGGTCCCAACGTCCGTCTGTTCATCCAGTCAGCCAGCAGGCCAGCCAGCAAAACAAAACAAATATTTATTATAGCCTGGCCATGCCAAATAGAACAGACCTTTTGCCTGGACAAGAAGCGATTGCACTCGCTGCCATGAAAGCTTCGGCCCTGGAGTTAGTCATACGGCAGTGACGTGGTCTTGCCTTGGTTCCTCGCCAAATGTCGGCAGTTGCCGTTCTTCGGCGTTCTACAACATTGCCGACAAGGGGCATTCATTGTCGTACTCGAGTTTTGCGCCATTACTCATGCGCGATTTAACAATAAATCAACGCGACGTGTCTGCAATAATATTATTCAACATCCAACAAGTCGACGTTGTTACGTCGCGCAACAACCGTGTGCTGCACACAGCGTTCTAGATTCGTTCATTTCGCTGACGACAGCGCATCAGGCATCAGCGCCTGCGCACACTAAACTTGAACGCTGTTGTTGCAGCTTCTGCTGCTGGCCGACTGGGCTGATTGTTTTTATTGGCCTCGGAGAACAATGAAACCGTTTTTCGGCAAATGTTGCCCAAATATGCCTTAAACTTGGAATCGTGATTAAGCATCGACCACCACGGCATGCATTCGCTCTCTCCCACTTGTCAAACTTAAATGCCAAAGAATTCGGTGTTCCATTTGTCTCTGGCATTCAGGACCTCTCCTCTCGTTTCCATTACCCTCGAATCTGATCAACCTGGTCCTCCTGGTCGCCCCATCCGAGTTGTTCCCATTGCTGGTGTCGTGATGTTGCATCAACGGAAACCGAACAAAAAAAAAAGAAATCATTGACCGAAAACGATAACAATTCAGCAAACGGTTCCACAGCACGACTTAATTGTTACGCACAATTGCATCAACATCAGACCCGGCATCTATGGTCGTAACGCTATAAATGTCCTCCCATCTAACCCTTGGTCTGGGTAATGCAATACTCTTTTCCTTTTTGATTGCTACACTGAGGGAAAAATCCCGTTGCGAAATCAAGCACGTATGTTGTCATTTTCGCAACGACCCGTTGTTATATTTTTCAACAACGGCTGTTGGTGAATTGTGCACGAACGTGCTCAAATTGACACCGAGACGTGGTCAACTTTCGGTACCAACAACAGCCGTGCTTAATTTGTCCATTTGTAATATTGGTAATTGCAGCCGATTACACACGAGTAAAAAATGACAACGGTGGTGCATGATTCACACACGGTCGTTGTCAATATGACACCGGTCGTGTATGAATTATGCACCACCACCTGCATAATGATGCACCACCGTTGTTACTTTGTACACCGACGTGCATGAATCGTACACGATCGTTGCCATTTTAGCAACTACCGTGTATGAATCATGCACCACCGTTGTCATTTTTTTTACTCGTGTGCAATCGGCTGCATATTTACCATTTTTTCCGTGTTATTGAAAGAGAAAGGACGCATTGTGCAAAAAATTTATTGAAAATGAATAATAATTCGCAAGATCCTCAAAATATCATTGGTGAGTTGTTAGAAATCGATGGCAATATTGTTGTGGTTCGCGATACAAACCATTGCAGCAGTCAAGATGCGGAAAACAATGAGGACGATTATATGTTAAGGGAGTTCTTAAAAGGAATAAATATGGAGTCGCTTTTTGAACAATTAAAAGGTAAGTAAATAAAAATGAATTTTTCAGTTAATCAGTGTAATTAACAAAGAATTTTCTTTTTTGTTCTTTTAGCATCACATGTAACATTTCGCAGCTTGCAGTACTTGAAAAAAGAAGATTTAAAGGAAGCAGTGCCACCATTGGGACTGCGTGTTGAATTCAGAGAAAAGCTCTTTGCTTGGAAAAAACGAAAGGTACGTATTATTTGTTTTACAGAGTTGAACTCAGTATTAATATTGTCATAACAATAGCTCGGGATTGATGACGAAACTATGTCAGTTCCATCTAAAATAGGTGAATGGTGGAAACGCAACGAGACACCTGCAAGTACTCCTGGTACTCCCGACACTACAGGTTCGAACTGCTCAAAAGCCAAAGGAATTTTGTCAGAGGTAAGGTAAGAGTAATATTTGTGTAAGCATAGTTAATGTAGTTTTTTTATTTAATAGGGTAAGTGTGCCTAAGTTCGGCATGTCCCAGTAGTCGGCACTTTTTATTTTTAAGCCCAAATAAATGAAACTATTATAACTAAATGTATTTTGTTTACTTCAAATATATTGCCAGCTATCTTTATGCACAATTTCGCTAAGAAAAGATGAATTATTCTAATAAAAAGTAATTTTTTGTCTGTGAAGGTCCTCAACAACCATATTTTTAAGAAAAGTACAATGAAGACGTCGTATCAGTTTAACTAAACAAAAATAATATATTTTAATGAATTAATTTATTATTGTTATTAATTATTCTCACAAAAAAATCGGTATGCCGACTGTTGGAACATGCCATATCGACAATTGGCAAGTGGTGCCGACTACTGGCAAAAAGGCATTGTTTTAATAAAACTACAAATTTATGAAATTTAATAAAAAGTTATTAAAACTTTATTTATTATTGCAAAAACTGTACAAAATTTCGAATCTGAATAAATTAACTTTGTAATAATTGAAAAGTTCCACTCAGAATTGTGAGCGATTAAAAACGCGAATATCCTAAAAGTGCCGACTACTGGTACACTTACCCTATAGGATCTAACGGAATTGTTAACACATACCTCGAAGGGGAAACTAGCGCTTGAATGTAGTAGCGTTAATAAGAAATTAAGTGACGAGCAAAGAGATGATATAATTAATATAATTATTGAAGATATTTTAACCAACAATGTTACTCTTTACACTCAAGACTATATGCGCATATTGGATGAAATTTGTTCCGTTTTTCCTCTTGAAAACGAAATGAGGGTAAGATTAACAATATAAACAACGTATCTGATTATGTAGTTTCTTAACTTATAATATGTCTTTATTTTTAGGATTATTATTACATTTCAAGAAAAGGAAAGAACAACGCAAGCGGAAAACTTTATGCCAAGTATAGAAACAAGAAGTCCAAAAGAATAAAGCTTTTGATTTCCGAGCCTAGCACAAGCAAAGCAGCAACTCACACATCTCCTAATTTTTGTAACAAAGATGTTCCCGAAATTGATGAATCAGTTGAAAATTCATTGAAAGCTTCCTTACTAAGAGAATGTAATGATTGGGGATCGATCTGCGAAAAATGGAAAAGATCTTTTAACATACGGCAAAGAGATATAAAAAATTTAAGTAGCCATACATTTCTCCTTGAATGGACGAAGTTGTCCGATGCAAGAGCTTCAGAATTGGTAAGTAGCCATGAGCTATTTATTTGTATATGGATACTAATGTTTCGTTTTAGGTCAACATTGATTTCGATATTATGTATCCACAGAAAGGCAATCTTCTACTTTCTAAATGGGACCAATTTAAGAAAAAAATTTACAATTATTATGGGAAAAATATTCATAACGAACATTGCAAACAACTCTTCGCAAATGTTTTGACGGCAAGCAGCATAGGTAAATTTTAATTCCTGATTTATCATAAACATTAAAAGTAATATTTATTTTATATTTCGGTTGCAGATGCTCAAGATTATATATACGCAATACTGTTGAATTCAGTTTTACCATCACCTGCTAGGTTTAAATGTGGAAACGGTAAATTACGAAAAAAAGTAACAATAGCTGATTCGCAGGAAAGTTTCGTACTGCGACTACCGACAATTAACGATTATAAAAGGCAAATTGATACAGTCACTGAAAAGTATTACAATGCTGGATTAACTATACAGCCATTTATAATTGTGGAGGGTTTGTCCGATTTCAATATAAAAGGTTTTTATGTTTTTTTTAACCACAATTTGTTAAAATTTCAATCGTTCCTCGAATGTTTAGATACATGTTTTAAAATTTTTCATGCACTTTCTTTAAAATATCCAAATGCCTGCCAAATTCCATGGATTTTTATCCAAAAATATTTTTATGAAATTAATACTGTATATGATATAAAATCAGTTAATTTGACTTCACTTATTAATTTCTGCAACAATAATTAAAGTACAATTCAAAATGTATATTTGCTTTCGTTGCCGTAAGCATTTTGATAAGGCAAATCTTTTAATAGCTCATTTGAAAACAGACCATTTAATGTCCACTAAATTTTTAAAAGTACAATGCGTTCAGGACAACTGTAAGCAAACATTTACAAAATTTACGTCATTCAGAATTCATTTAGAAAAACTTCACAAGAATCACACAAAAGCTCCACCAATGGTTAAAGCCATTAATGTGCCAGTTGAAATGTCATCATCAAAAGAAAATGATTATACAAACAGTGAAACTGTTATTAACAACAATACAATAGAAAAGGATTTAAATGTTTTGAAAAAGAAAACCTTATATCTGTCTTTACAATTACATGGTCAAAGCTATATGCCTAGAAATCATGTTATAGAAATACAACATTCTGTTTCAATTCTGCTTTCATCCATTTCATGTACAATTGAAAAATATATAACTGATCATCCAAATTATGAAGACTTAAGGTACTTACTAAACTTTTGTAAAAATCCTTTCGAAGAAACTAGAACGGAATATAGACTTTTAAAAATTTTAAAAGAACTAAACTTTTATGATGATCCAAAGGTTTATGTAATTAGCAATCAAGTCTCGGAAATTGTTATCAGCGGAAATCCCAGTTTAGGTCCAAAGTTATCCAATATTTATATAATGCCACTGAAATTCATGATAAGTGCCCTTTTTAAAATTCCAAATCTCTTAGATTTGACATTAGAAAACTCCAAAAAATTCCTAAATTCACCTGTTTTACAAAATTTTACAAACGGTGAGTTATATAAAACTAAATTATTAAAATATCAGTACAATTTAGTTATTCCCTATGTCCTTTACATGGATGATTTTCAAATTAATAATCCTCTTGGAACCCATACATTTTCCATATGTGGTTGTTATATTAGCTTTCCTTCAATGCCACAGCACTTGTTGTCAAAACTTGATTATATATTAACTGCTGCGTTTATACCATCAAAGGATTTAAAAGAACGTGGAAATGAAGTTTCATTTCACAATCTTGTAGAAGAGTTAAAAATTCTAGAAGAAGGGGTTGAAATTTGTGTTCAACAAAGTGTTCAGAAGGTGCATTTTATTTTAGGTGTAATTATTGGAGATAATTTAGCAGTTAATAGTATTTTAGGCTACGTGCAATCATTTAACTCTAAAAGATTTTGCCGGGTATGTAGAAGAAAAAAGTCCCAAATGCAATTCGACGCAATTCAGCATTTAGATAGTTTAAGAAACCAAGAGAATTACAACTCAAATGTATTGGAAAATAATTTTCAAGAAACAGGTATTAAAAACAAGTGTATCTTCGAATCTTTACCAAATTTTAACGTCACTGAAAATTTTTGTTTTGATATTATGCATGACATTTTCGAGGGCATATGTGTCTACGATATGTCTAATGTAATTCTCGGGCTGATTCAAGAAAATATTGTTACGTTAGATTGTATTAACAGCAGAAAATCTTTATTCCAATTTGGAGAAATTGAAGTGGGAAATAAATCTGGACCACTAGATTTATGTAGATTGAAAAACTATAACTTAAAAATGACAGCTAGTGAAACTATGTGTTTTACTAATTTTTTACCTTTAATGGTAGGCGATTTAATTCCTTTCTCCAACGATCACTGGAAAGTTTTTATAATATTATTACAAATAATCGATTTACTTTTAAGACCAAGTTATATAGAAGACGATTTAATAAAATTGGAAGAATTAATTAGAGATCACCATTCACTTTATATAACATTATACGGTTCGTTAAAACCGAAACACCACTTTCTTGTCCACTATCCCACAGCTATCCGAAAATGTGGTCCCCTTAAATATCTCTGGAGCATGAGATTCGAAGCTAAACACAAGGAAGCAAAAGCCTATTTAGGAAATACTACATCAAGAGTAAATCCCTGTCGTTCATTATCTATTAAGTCTGGATTGAAATTTTCCAATTTTTTATTAAAACACGAAGATAACTTAGAACCAAATGTTATCATTAATACGCATACCATCGAAGATTTGGCAAAAGAGGAATATTGTTACAAAAAAAGTAAGCCAGTTTTAAATTACCAAAATTGCAAAGTGTCTGATGACATTTTTTTTAAGGGAACTAGGTATAAAAAAAACTATTATTTAGCAACAAATAATGCCGCAATTGAACTTTTCAAAATTAAACATTTAATAATTGAAAATGAAAATGTTTACATTTTATGTAACCAAGTAAAAGTTAAAAACTTTGATTACCATTTACAATCGTATGAAGTTGGTTCTCTGAATGAGGATACAATTTTTTTAATACCAATTTTAGATTTTATTACTTACCCATTTCACTTATATCCTATGAATAATGGAAAAGTTTATTTCAGATTTAAGTTAATTTAATTTGTTTCTATACATTGAATATATGTAATTCGAATTGTTTTGTTAAATCAAATATGTATTTATATTGAATTTATGTAATTGGTTTCGTTCAATAAAATACTTTTCAAAAAATGTCGTTTCTTCTACTAAGGGTATAAAATGGAAAAGGAACGGATATCAAAAAATGACCACCATTGATTTCAATCTGACAACGGGCGTTGACAATCCGACAACGGAGCGTTGACAATCTGACAACGAAGCGTTGACGATCTGACAACGAAGCGTTGACAATCTGACAACGGGGCGTGCTCGAAATGACCACGTATGTGCTCATTTCATGCACATCTGTTGTTGAAATCGTTGCCAAAATCTCGGTGTCAAAATGACAACAGCGTGCTCATTTTGACACCAAACGTGGTTGATACACTATCATACACGGATGTGGTCATTTCATACACGGATGTTGTCATTTTTTCTCTGGGTGTACGGTTGTTGTTGCTCTTGTTGTTGAAAAGGAAGATCTAGCTGGGTGCGCGGGTGGCTTTTGTTATGCACTTTACTGCTTTTGTTGTCCTTGTTGTACATTTGCAAATAATCTTATAAATTATACAATACAACAAGTTCAGGGTTTCTACCTTGACTCGCCTGTCGGTTGGTTGGTGGGTTTGTGTGTGTGTGTTTGTTTGTTGTATGCCAATAAAACCGCATATTAAGCAAAAATTGCTGTTGTTTGAATTCAAGTGAATTCAAGAGTTTTTTTTTTTTTGGTGCTCAGCCCCGCTTCACTGTAACGAGCTAGTCTCAAATATATATTGACTACAGTTTGCTAAGCTCAACTCACGAAATATTTGTAAATGTTCTTACAACACGTTTAACCTCGCCATACAGCACCACCACGAGACTTTTTGGGAGACAGTGTGTTCTGCGGCGTGGCAGCGTGGCTCTGGCGTTGAATTGAATTGAGTCGACTTGAGTTGATTTGAAGTTGGTGTCTCTTTTGTTTATTTAACAAGCGGATAAATTTAAATGCGAATAAAAAGCAACATTAGAATGTAAATTTAATAAGAATTCCCAATACCAGTGGAATGTGGCATGTTTATCAACAATTGTTGCAAGTACACAGGGAGAAAAAACGATGTTTGATGGAAAAGATAGATGTGAGACTGAAATTGGGCAGTGATTCTCATTTTATGTAAGTGACCTGATAATGTAGCCCACATATTTGGTAAGAACACTTTAAAAGTTGCCTATTTAAGTGGACCTCTTAGGAAGATCAAAAGTACACATATTCTATATATTATTCCTCGTTGTTTAATAGTTCCTGACATTCCACTATGCTATTGTCCGATTAAATAGGTGGAGGAGTCCGCAAATTTTAAAAATATTAAGTTTTTTTTTCGAATCTCAGAGCATTAGAAATATAACTTCGACATTTTTCCTAGATAAATGCTCAAATTATATTTCATGTCCTTATTTGGTGTGATTTGAACTTATGTTTTTACAACAGTTACAAAATTATACTCCTGTTTTTATTTAAAATGGCTGAAGCTAGAATCTTGACTTTTTTGGAAATTCTGCATATAGCTTATAAAGAATGAATTCATTATATTGGGCAATAGGATGGATCATTCCTAAGGAGGTATAGGGTAGATGTAGATATAAAGTTGTTTATAGGTTATAGATGTGTTAAACAAAAAATTCTAACAACATTTTGGAAATTCGTACCAAAGAGAGACAAAAAGTACTAAGATTTTATCATTCATTGCACGGAATTGGTACAAAAAGTACTCGATATTTTACCGATTGTCTGCGAAGACCAAGAACTCTGAAAAGGTCGCGAAAAGTAAAACAGATATTTAATTTTCTAAAATTGGCCTAAACGACCGAAAAGAACTGAAACATTATAATATGGATTTAATACCCTCAGCCATACGGCTCATCGAAATAACGGTTTCAGATCCAAGGTCTCTTCGGACCAAATCCGTTGTAGGACATTTTGAGGCGATCTAGCTATGTCCGTCCGTCTGTCTGGCTGGCTGGCTGGCTGGAGCGCACGATTCGAAGGAAGCATCCGCCTTGGTTCAATCTTGGTGCATCGTAATATTATTATCAAACTTCGATGGAGTTCGGAGATGGGCAATATCGGTCCACTACTTCCTCCACATCCTATCCTCCACAAAATGTCGAAATTTGCAGAAATATATTTTACTGCACAGAAAGAGAAAAGATAATCCGATTTTGCTCCAACTTTCTAAATCCTAATAATTGCAGTGATAGGTCGGATGCGAAAATGAACAATATTGGTCCACCCCATCAAGTACCTCCCCCACAAGGGTCAGCATTTTGAATAATAATAACTCTTATAAAATGTGAAGTAAGAGTCTGATGGTCTTCAAATTACACACATTACAACATGTTTATTAACACAAGGTCTGGTGTGAAGCTAAAATATATCGGTTCACTCCTTCTGGTATGCCACACATAAAGGTCAAAATTTTGAAGACCCATGAAGCTTATAAAACGCGAAATTAACATCCGACTCCATTCAGACTTGGCACATCTCAATGTTCCTATCAACACAAGATCTGTTATAAAGATGATAGAGATAAGACCATTTCTTTTGGCGCC